ATAGTAGATGTCCCAGTTGGTGAGGAAGTATCTCACTGTGGGTTTGACTTCCATTGTCCTAATGGTGATTAGTGCTAAGCATCTTCCACATATTTATTAGCTGTCTGTAAATCTTGTCAAAAACATCTATTCAAATACTTTCCCAATCTTAAAACCACTTTTTTCCTGTTGTTGGCACTATTGTTCAGTTTTAGAAGTCTGTTATCTCAATATTATCTGATATGTAATTTGCAAATATTTCTCCCATTCTGTGGGTTGCCCTTTTACCATGTTAATGGGGTCTTTTGATGCACAAGAATTTTTTATTGTGCTGAAATCTAATGTCTATTTTTCCTTTTTCTGTTGTCTGTGCCTTTGATACATCCTAGAAATTGCTGCCAAGTTGAATGTCATGACCTCCCCTCCTTCCTCTTCCTTCTATGTGTTTAATAGTTTCAGGTCTTAAATTCAGTATATTTTAAATTTTGTATATGCTGTCACAGGGGGCTCTGATTTTACTCTTTTTGCATGCAGGTCCCCCAATTCTCCCCTATTAGCATCTGTGTCAAAAACCATTTGACGAAAATATGTCAGTGTCAACTTCTGGGTTCTCGTTTATTCCATCTGTCTCAATGTAACAATACTAGAGAAGTGCTTTGGTTTTTTTTTTTTTTTAACTCTGAAGAAAATCTGAGGTCAGGAATTGTGAATCTCCAACTTTGTTCTTTTTTCATTTCAGATTCCATATGGATTTTAAGATGTATTTTTCTAAAAATCCTCAGTCATAGAGGAATTCACAGAAACAGTATCTGTGGATTGTTTGGGGTAACAGTGATAGGGTAACTGTCTTTAAATCCATCTCAATGGCTTCACACCCATCTCTTTTTTGACCTCTGCCATCAATGTTTCATGGTTTCACTGTGTAGGCTTTCCCACCCTGATTGCGTTAATGCTTGGTATTTTGCTATTTTGATACTGTTGTAAATAGGACTTTCCTCCAAATTTTCTTCTCAGAGTGTTCACTGTTCAAGCACACCAACAAACCCAGCCTGTGCATGTTGGGTTTTGCACGGCTAATTTGCTGTTTATTCGTGACAACACAAGTATGTGTGCATGTGCGCTCGCGCGCGCGCACACACACACACACACACACACACACACACACACACACACACAAAGCATGTGTGTGACCTTCAGGGTTTCCTCTAGTTAACACCACATCACCTGTGAACAGAGGCCATTCTGTCTCTTTCCTACTTAGATGGCTTTAATGGATTTATGGATTTATTTATTTATTTTTGTGCTCAATTTCTCTTGCTAAAGCTTCTAGCACTATGCTAAATAGAAGTGGCAACAGTGAGCATCTCTGCCTTGCTTCATAGGGGAAAGACTTTCTATAGTCTACCATCAAATACTATGTCAGCCATGGGATGACTCTTAAGATAATGAGATCGTTTGATTTTGTTCTTTTTTTTTTACGTTTTATTGTAAAATGATAATGAATTTTGCCGAACTCCTTTTCTGGATTGATTAAAATAATCATTAGTTTTGCCCTTTACTTGTCTGGGTTTTGCCTTGCAAGTCTGGGTGTAACATCCAGGGGTGCAGGATCTCTGACCACCAGTCCCAAGATGGCATGGCAAGAAGTGGATACTTGCCAGACAGTGGAGTTATTATTTTCCACAGCCCAGGTCTGAGTGATGAGGACCACCAACCCATGCAGTTTTCTTTCCAATCCAAGGAACCTGAGGAGCCAACTGCTTCGACCCTGCAATCCCAGAGAATACAGTCTGGAGAGAGACAGATGGGCTTTGTGGACCTGTTGCTGCTTGTTGCTCCTAGGGAGGCTATGTAATGATGGGAACCCAATCCCAGCCACAATCCCTTCCCTTCCTCCAGGCTTACCAGGTATCTCACCAGCTCAGAGTCCCCATTCCTCAATGGCTATGGGCAGGAAAGATATCTGGAAATTTCACAAACCAGGATTTAGAGGACTGAAGAAGGGAAGTGGTGGTGATAGAGGCTGATCTTGTTTAAAACAAGATATGGTGTCTGAGGGTGAACTGGTTTCTGTGACCAGCATGGCAGAAAAGGATTGTCACCAGTGGAGCTACCACACAGGGGACTGGGGACTTGAACTGATTTGCTTTTGGCTTCTAGCAGCCCTGTATCACAACACATAGACAACTTGTAGGGACAAATATCATCATACCATATTGTTTACACAGTATAATTTCCCTTAACAAGTTGTAGACCTCCTCAGAAAAACCTCAGAATCCAAATGGAAAGGGCTTGGCCCCAACACCAGGACTGTGAACCACAGACAACCTAGTATGAGCTGCTACTGGACTGAAAGCAAGTACTGGGACCTCTCTGGCCCCCTGTCCTACAGTCTTCATGTCCCATGGGGGATGGCAGGTGAGGTGATATAGAGCAACATATCCCACCCTTAACCAGCTGTTATTAAACAGCTTCCTAAGTCTAAGTCACTTTATAAAAGCAAATACCAATGCCTTCTGACTACCGGTCACAAGAGGACATGTGTGAGTACAACCAGCAATTCACCATGCTGTGAGAATGCCACTGGAACCATTCTGCCAGAGGGGCACATCTGAGGGGCAGGATAAAGGCAAGAGAGGTGATCCTTCTCACAAAAGACAAGAGCAGTCTGGGAAGGGAGCCTCACACAGCAGGGCACAAGGAACTCATCCTCTTCACCAGCAGGTTCACCACTGTGGGACTGGGGGGCACCAACACCTATTTCCCTGTGGCCAGTTAGGACAAAGGGTTTGGGCCTAATGTCATGGCTGTGCCCAAGATGCCCAGAACTTCCTTGCCCTTGAACTCCCTTCAGATTCTTGGAAATGAGCTGTGGACCCTTGTCCCCACAGGGAGACTCAGTCCTGGTGAGCTTTGGGCAGGTCTTCCAGCCTTCCAGGCCTCCAGGCCCGATTACAATATAGTCAGAGCAGAGATTCCAGCAGGGGGATCATCAGGTCCTTCCAGCTTCTGGGTCCCCTCTTCCCCATGAGCCCCTCCCAGGCCACCCCATGATTCCTAAATGTGAACAAAGAGCCACCTGCATACTTTATCCCTCGTGAGGACCATGACCCCCTACTATCCTCCAACATGCAAGCTGGGAGCCACTAACCTAATTTTCTCATCACAGCTGGCTTCCTTCTTAACACCCAGGCTCCATCCCCTCAGGTAAAGAAGAGCAGATGTACCCTGAGATAGCCAGGAATCTGTACAAACCCTAGACCAAGAAAAATTGATTGTACCAGGCCCTGAGACAGCATAGAATCTGGGGAAGGGGGAATATCACCACCCAGCCCCAAATGCCTTAGAGTAGCCTACTCTCTTTAGAGTTTTGTAGGTCTTGTGGTCCCAAATAACAAATTTTGTCTCATTCTGCTATACTGTACCCTAAATCTTTTACCTACATCTGGCACTGTTAGCTTTCTGCTCCCATCACCCCTTTCCATAGGGACAACCTCCTCCTAGGTTCTTCTGCCTATCCCCCAGGGTTGCTGCACCCCAAAACTGTCCACTCACAGTTGCATCTGGGCAATGTTGGCCACTCTTAAGGCTTCAGTGCCAGGTTGAGAAGCCCCAATTTCCTATTCTAGCCAAGCCTTCTAGCCCAATATCTTGCCTTAAGCTCAGCTTGTCCTCTGAGAAACTCCTCCTGGGGCCCAAATGCTCTGCTCCTTCTTTTCTCAACCAGCAGCTCCACCATCCGTCCAGGCACCCACATAAGACCAGGTAAGCTAGGGTTTTCTACTCCTGATGCCTGCTGGCTCCTACCAGTCTTTCCCTTGTCCCTGTAGTTCCACCACCCACTCGCCCTGCCCATCAGTTCAGACCCTCTTCCCACATACACATCTTCCACTTGCCACTCCTCACGTCAACCCACCCAGAACGCAGCTGCTCTGGTTCCTTCTCCAAACACTGAGCTGACATGAGGCTCCCCTACTCTTGGGTGGCCCCAGTCTCCTGGGTAAAGCCCCTACCCCTCAGAACTCTTGCTCACCTCCTCTAGCCTCCACTGTCCACATCCATCCACATTCCTTCAAGGCTCCTGCAGGCCCTGCTGCAGCTGTGCCACTTGACCTCCCTCTGAAGGGAGCAAGTGTGCCTCCAAGCCTTGCACCTGCACCCGTTGCACCCACAGTGTGACCTCTCCACCCATCCTCGCCCCTCCACACTTCCTTCTTCTCCAATCAAGGTTTGCTGTTTCATGAAACCTCATGCCAAAAGATGGTCACTAGCAAGCAGCCTTCCACCTGGACTTCAAGGGTCCCTGCGGATGTCTCTGTGGTAGAATGGATGCTCTGCCTGATAAGACTGTAGCCTCCCAAGGGAAGGATCAGATTCTGGTGTTGCACTTGTAGCCCTAGCACAGAATACAGTGTTCAGGTTTTTGAAGGCCTTCAAAAACACCTGCTGGGAAAACAGATGGCTGGGTGGAGTGTGGATGCCTTTGAAGAGCCTGTGGTGTCTAATAATTGAGGAGGTCACCTCTCCCTCCCTGACCCACTGTGTAAAGAAGCTTTCCCTCTATATCTACTCAACAAATTGGGTGCAGACCTGGTTTCATAACCCCTTTCTTGGCATCCTCATTGGATAACTCTCTCACAGCTCCTACAAGTTCTTTAGGCACATGGTAAGCTATTTTTCAACTATTCATAATTTCTCCAAGTCATTTCATCATTATAAGAGGAGGGGCTGATTCTTCCTTCAATATGACTGTCACTTGAAATAGGTCTTCCATGTACAAAGGATCTTGAAAGTGTGGTCATGAGCAGTCCCATCACTGAGCAAACCTGTGCATTTAAACATCACAGCAGGTAGAATCCAAATCAGACTTTCTCCCATTCACTACATCTTCTCTCAGGGTCACAGACTGTGATCCCATACCAGCTGCCACCTTGCCTCAGGAGACAAGGGTGCCACACCTCCCTCCAGAGCTCCTCTCATCGGGAAATCTGAACCCAGGCAGGATCCTCTCATGGACTCACCATGTTCATGACAGTGAGGATGAACCTCTGTGCAGCCTCTGCCCCGTGGTACTGCACCATGTCTGCATCAGCCACCACCAGGGTCTCCACCGTATGCTCATTGGTGAGCCTGATGGCATTCCTCCGCTCCCTCCAGTCCCGCGATGGCTTGTCCTTCTTGGGCTTCTTTTCTAGAAAATGATGGAGACATTTGTACAGTTCTTAGCTTATTGATTTATGAAACCACACCATGAAAGGTCCCAAGAGAATGGTCAATCTCAAGTGGCCTGCAATGAACCCCAAGCCTGCAGATCTCCATGATTACAGTGGTGGGCTATGTTCCCAGCTACTGGTGGCACCAGACGGGAGCCGAGGAAAGAGCTTAAGGGGCCAGACATCAAATGAAACTCTACCTTGTTCATTCTTGCAACCAAGGAGGTACCTGACCATCAGAAAATAGAAACCCATTCCTAATATTGAACATGGAGAACCACACACAGCAGGCAGGGAGAGAAGCCTGCACTCAGAAATGAGGGATACGGGGGCTCTTCAGAGTGACAACATAGGTATGTGTGACAGGTACCCCCACTTCCCTAATGACATCTGGAACCAAGGCAACTGGCTTGGTTGAGGCCAGCATAATCTCTTGTGAGATAAGCATCCCAGCAACTGTGCTGAGAGTTGAGAAGGGGTCATAAACATCAACAGGTGTAGAAGCATCAGGAAAGTATAAGATCATAACACAGCCAGGCTGTTCATTTGCTCTTTCCTCAAAACAAGGAAGGTTAGCTAGTAAATGTGTGGGATTCCTCTACTGACATTTTAGGTAAACTCTTCCTCCCTAAGATCTTACTTAGACAGACATCTATTTTCGTTCACAGAGCCCACCTCTGAAGGTAGAAGGCTGCTGAGTGAGGGCTGACAAGGTCTCTGTATGTGGCAATGACTGCCTGGCACAACAGGTGGGTAGGAATGGAGTGCAGCCTTGGAATCCAAATGTGAAAAGCAATTTGATACTTCCCATTCCCATCTTAGCAGTGCCTTACACGGAAAGGGTTCTGCTACATTGTTCACACAGTAAAACACCACATGTCTGCCAAGTCTTCATAGAGGTGACCTATCTTCATTCCAGGAGCATAAGTATATAGCATGAACATGCTGGATCTCTGGATTGGGCTTTGTAAGTAGTATTGCTGCTCAACATGTTCTACAATCTTGAGAGCCTGAAAAGCCACCAAAATCCCCAATTGTAGAGAAAGCTACCAAGGTTAAGAAGGATTCAACCTAGAAATGTGTGTCTAGGGAGACCCCATAATGTAGAGAGACAGCTATAACTCCTTATACACAGTTGGGTCTCAAATTTACAGAAACAGAATATGAACAAGCACTTTCATGGAAACAAATAAGTAAATTAGCAAGCAAAAGCTAAAACGGTAATAGTGAGTGATATGTGATAAGCATCTTCCTTTCGTCCTCGGCACTTTCTAAATCTATACAATGAACAGGAGAGATTTACTCATTCAAAAACAAAATCTGAGCTTGTGAAAAAATACAGAAGCCATTTTAAACTCCAAATGATAAAAACAGAAGGCATCGGGAAGCAAAATGTATCACCAGAATCATCCTAAATTTGTAAAAATGTAAGACAAGGCTATCTCCTCACCTCACAGAATGCTCCAGCCTTCTGAACCTCACAGGGAAACAGGGGCAGTACAAGGAGTGAGGTCTTGGATGGCATTGCCTTTGTGTATCAACAGAATGAATGGGGCTCCTAGCAGAAAATCTAGGGACTCATCATACCCACTTTCTCCAACACTAGAAATGCATAGCAAGAATGGTGCCCACTCTCTGGTCTCCCCACCCTTGTCAAGCCCAATCGGCTTGGGTATGAGCAACCTGTCTGACCTGGGATGTGTAAAGAGTCACTATGTTTCATTTTAAAGCAACAGAGTTGAGTGACAGCCTTTCTGGAAAAGGAAATTTGTTGGAACCTGCATGCCAACCTTCACCCAGGTGAATAGTCACAGCTCACAGGTGGCCTTAGCTTGTCTTAATGTCTACTCAGAATTCATCCCTGGACATCGCCAACTGGTGTTCTCGCCTGCAGATGTTCCCTCTGGCTGTGCACACTTGTTTTTCCACTTTGCAATAGCATAGAAAGACCTGCATTTTTAAGCCGGTCCTAACAGATGCATTCAAATACCACTCTAAGAGTTTGAACTATGATACTGGAGAGCCCAGGTATGGCCTGACACCACCCGACAAGAGGAGCAGATGCACCCTGGACATTTAACACTGGGTGTCAGTCTCCACAGTCTACTATCCAGAACTAATACTAACACCTGCCTCTCTCTCTCTCCATAATGGATCTAACAGACTATGTAACATGATGTTATACGCTAGACATAGTAGTGCTGCCTGTAGACCCAGGTATTTGGGAGTTTTAAGACAAGAGGACTGCTTCAATTCAGGAGTTCAGGACCATCCTGAGCAGCAAGTAAGATCCTGGCTCTAAATAAAACCAAATGCATGAAAAACTGAGAGTGAACATGGGCCCCTGGGGTGGGGGTAGGGTGTGCATCAGGAAGCAGGTGAACACAATGATTAGGGCCTTGTGGTCTGAAAGGGTTTTCACTCTGGATGTCTCATTTGCTCCTCCTATTGTTAAAGCTCCCTGTAGCATCCTTGGTGGGGAATCCTGAACAAACCCATGCAAGGAAATGGATTCAAAGGAATATTCTTGCTTAATGGTGGCCCCACATATTAGTGCAGGCCAGGCCTTATCACAAAACAAGTGTCAGAAACTTTGGTTTTGTTCTTGCTTGGTGGCTTGTATTTGTTTTGTTTCCTATTCCAGCTTTTCCATTTTTATTTTTTGGCTTTTTTAAAACTAATCAATGCACAATATTGTCTACATATTTACATAGCATAATAATTTGGTACTTGCGTAAAGTATGCAATGATTAAATCAAGGCAATTAACATTTCCCCCTCCTTGAACGTTTATCATTTCCATCTGTAGGAAGCCTTGGGACACACTTCTTCTCTAGTTGCCTTTTGAAATAAATCATAAATTGCTATGGACCATAGTTGCCTTACTGTGTGACAGGATACCAGAACTAGGCCACAGGCCTGCTGGACCATACTTGTGACCCCAGAACTCAGGAGGTTGAAGAAGGAGAGTTATGAGTTCAAGGCCAGCCCTGGCTACACAGTAAGATCCTGTCTCAAAAACAAACAAGAGAAGAACTTCAGAACCAGTTTCTTTTACCAAACTGCACTTGGATGACAATTATCTAACCCCTCCCCTTCTTTGTTTCTCTATTGCAGTGGTTCTCAACCTTCTTAATGCTGCCACCCTTTAATACTGTTCCTCATGGTTGTAGTGACCACCCCCAACCATAAAATTAACATGCTGTGGTGACCCCCAACTGTAAAACCATTTTGTTATTACTTCCCCCGCCACTAGTGCTCCACGTGGGCTACTGCATGGAGGAGACAGCTTCAACACGTTTAACTTAAACTTCCTACAGTGCATAAGCACACCCAGATGGACAGAGCACTGATACCACCATGCTCATCAGCACCTTCAAGGCAAAAGAAACTCAAGTCTTAGGATCACATAGTGCCGGTCTCTATCCCTAGAGAGATCAAGTGCAGGTAGCAGGCCTGTGACTGGATAGGAGGGTGTCCCCAAGCTCTGCTGCCAAGCCACCATGGGAAATGTGGGAACCCTCACATTGCCAACCAGAACACATTCTAGCCAGACACAAGGAGTCATTTCTAAAGTCAAGCCTGCTGCTTCCTTTGTTAGCACATTGTTGGGTTGGTAATTACCTGGCGATATTAAATAACTACTCCCACTTTGTTTTGAATTTATTCTCTCTTTACTCCAATCGACCATCAAAGCAGACAACTTGAAATATTTATTGAAGGGTAGTCTACATGTTAGACTTTTACGATATTTAAATAATGATTTGCTCTATAAGTTTGAGAACTGTCAAAAGTGCTCACACAAATGGGGACTGGGAAGGTGGTGCAAGTGCTCTGATAAAAGCACTTGCAGTAAAAGCATGAGTTTGAGCACCCAAAACTATGCGAAAAGCTTAGGCATGGATATAACCTATGCATGCCTGTAGCCAGGCCTATGGAGTTGGGCTATACAGGAGAATTCACTGGGGCTTGCTAGCTACCAACCTAGCTCCGGGTTCAGTGAGTGACCCTGTCCCTAAGGCAACAGGTAGAGAATAAAAGAGCAGGACACCTTATGACCTCCTCTGGCCTCTGCACACACACAGTCACCAGCATTAGCACACACGTGTGCACACACACCACACAATACACATTTACCACTTTCATACATACAAATGCACAGATTAAAAATACATAATGGGGGTCAGTTGGTGGTGGCTCACATGTTTAATCCAGCACTTGGGAGGTAGGGGCAGGTGGATTTCTAGGTGTTTGAGCCCAGTCTGGTCTATAGAGTGAGTTCCAAGACAGGTAGAGCTGTTACACAGAGAAACCCTGCCTCAAAAAAAAAAAAAAGATAAAAACAAAACATAAATGGTTATACAGCTACTAATTTTGTTCCTGGAAAATAAAAAATTCCCAGTTATTAATTAACCAACCCAAAGTATCAGGATATGGGTATGGCTCAATGGTAGAAGGTTAGCCTAGCATGCTTGAAGCCCTGGGTTTTATCTCCAGTTCTAAAAAAAGAAAAAGTAATAAAAGTATTTAAGCAGTCTCTGGGGGAAAACAGATAAAAATATTGGACATGAAATTCCTCTTTAAATTCCTCCATCCCCTGCTGTGCAAGACCCTAGTGTCCTAAGGACATTTCCAGAGATGCTCTCAATGTACTCTTTGTGCCCAGGCACAGGAAGAGCATGTCTTTCCCCATCATAGACGCAAATTAGAGGGCAGAGAAAAACAGAGTGGAGGAAATAGGGGAAGATGCCCAAGGGCGCCGGGCAACCTTGAGTAGACAGGCACTTCAGGCCATGGTGGCAAAGACCAGGGGCACTAATGGGAAATGCCAACAGTTGAGTAAGGAAAGACACATGTCTGCCTTGGTGGCAGCCTTTTCCATATCAGCACCCCATGGCCAGAAGCATGAATGTGTCCTCACTGTGACTCATGGAACAGGGAACAAACCAGAGGCCCGCGCATCAAACCAGACCTTGTCT